GTATTTAGATTCATATAAATCAGTTAAGGAGGATGGAATAAAGATGCCGAGATATTGAATGCCTTTTTGGGCCATTTAAATCCACTTAGGAGTTTAACATTGTCATTAACAAGATTGTTTACGTCTATAACTTCAGTTTTATCAACATTCACTTTATATCCTGAGTAATATCCATATTGCTGAATGATATATTTAAAATGAGGAATTGTTGAAGCAGGTTGGGTAAAATATAATAGAACATCATCATCTTATGATATTTTATGTTCTGTGTTTATTACAACACCTTTCATATTCTGATCATCCCTAATAAGTTGGGCTAACGGCTCTTTGCTAATAGCGAACAGTAGGGGGCGATAGTGAGCAGCCCTGTCTGCATCCACGTTCCAGGGCAAATCGTTCTGATCTATGTCCATTAATCCGTACAGGTGTGGTGATGAATGAAGTGTTTTTATCCAATTAATGAAATTTGGGCTGAATTTGAATCGCTTTAATGTTTGTAATAAATATTGCCAGGATACTCTATCAAATGCTTTTTGTGCATCCAAAGCTATGATTACAGATTCTAGTTTTTCATTCTTCAGATGGGATATTATATTTAAAGTACGCCGCAGGTTATTGCCATAGTACCTTCCTGTAATAAACCCAGTTTGGGTCAGGGTGTATAATTACTTACTTTATTGAAACGCATTGCTAATATTGCTCTTAGTATACGCAGATCTCCATTTAACAAGGATATGTGCCTATAGGATTGGCAGTCTGTGGGATCCTTGCCTTCTTTATGAACAACAATTATTGTGGCTTCTGACCATGATGGTGCCAATTTTTGTGACTCCAGAGCGGATTTATATGCTTTTAGTAATAAAGGTGTAAGTGAGTCTTTAAACACTTTATAGAACTCATTAACATAGCCATATGGCCCCTGGCTTTTGTTGCCCTTAAGAGAGGAGATGACTTGTTTAATTTCAGTCTCCTCCAGCGGTTTGTCAAGTTCTTCAGCTAACTGGTCTGTCAGTTCTGTGATCTTTATATGTTCTAAATATTCTGCAAGTTCCTGCTCATTTGTGCATGTATCTGTATTTTTATACAGTAATTTCTAAAACTTTGAAAATGCTTTGGATATGTCATTCGGTTTTGTAACATAAGTTGATTGGACCTTAATTTTTTGTACAATATTTGATGCTTGCTGTTTCCGTAGTCTGAATGCTAATACTTTGCTGGCTCTATTTCCATCCTCATAGTATCTTTGATTTGTAAATCTTAAATTACCTTCAATTTGATCAGATAATAGGCTATTGAGTTGTCTTCGAGTTGCGTTTAACTCTTTTACAATGACAGCTTTTTTAGATTGTTTATGTTCATATTCTAGTTTTTTTATTTTACATTCTAGCTCTTTTTGCTTGGCTTCTTTCTTCCGCTTTCTCGCTGATGCATATGAAATAATTCTGCCTCGTAAGTATGCTTTAGCACAGTCCCACAAAATTAGAGGATTTGTTTCTGGTTTAGAATTATTGTTCAGATATTCCTTTATTCAGTAGTTATGAAGGACACCAATTATTTATCATTCAGCAGAGATGTATTTAGCCTCCATTGTTTGGTTGTTGGTATAAGTGCTATGTCCCATTGTAACAGGACAGGCACATGGTCGGATAAGGTAATCGGCATAATCTCAATATCTGTCACTTTGTCCAAATTTGCCTTAGGAGTAAAGAA